CGGGCCATATTCTAGCTTGAACTTGCGTTGCTATATCTAGAGCAAGAACAAGTTGGAAGTGAAAGATAGACTCTTCCTGCTACTCTCATCGATTTCTTGTATCACCATCAACCTTTATACACATGCAATCTCCTTTGACCAAGTGTTTGCTCGTGAAAGAGACACCGAGGAAACGCCCTCTGGAAGGAGATCATAAGGAGGAAGTTCGTGGTGCCGTTGGTGACTCTAGTAGTAGAATCGGGTACTGTTTAGGAAATGAAGAGCTTTCTATCCACGGCAGAACAAAGCTACCGTCACCGAATAATCGTCTCCACCCATGTTCTTCCTCACAATCCATCTGCAATGTTGTTAGCTAGACTCCAGTAGGCTTCTATGAGCTATTTACAAGGTATGAGTACCAAGGTACCAAGTACCCAATACCACGTGTGTTCGCGACAGACGGGCAGAGGGAGCCTCCGAATCGTCGTGCACTGTATGAAATGGTTAGCATTCGTCGTCCGCGAATCACGCCTGACAAGACGTCCGTGTCTGTGGCATATCTCAGTATTCCTGATCTGGCCGCTCAAAACCGATTTCGTACTGTCAAAACTTACTCACCAATTCATTACCTCAATTCAAATTATTCTCCTAAATATGGCTTGAACGTTCTAAATTATATGTTGATAGCTTTACAGTGAGTAGACTTCCACGAGGAAACAGCGCGAAATTGTCCATGAGAACTCCTATACCTTATGCCCCAAAGGAGTAAGATACAGATGGTTGTTAAGAGCCAGTCAGTGTCACAGTGTACTCTTCATAAGGAACTGAAGGCGTGTGTGTATTTCAATCATGCAGCCGCGACAGTGAAGTGGACCAAAGTCACTCATGGAGCTTTGTTTTGAGTAGGATCATTGAGCGAAATCTTTTTTGGCGCGTGAGTGATCTTTCCGTATCTGGGAGAACGTCGGTCTCTTCCCACAAAAGGTAACAAGCCTGACTGGATGGTTTCTCTTCATCCGGCTTGAATAACTAGTAGAATGACCTTGGGCAAGTTTTTGCTCTCATCTAGGTCGCGAAACATGATTATGAGGAGATCAAACCTTGATGAGCCTCTCCAAAACTGATGTTATGGCATGATTGATACTAGTGATCACTCAGTACATTCTCAGATTGGTATATCATGTCCGAGTGGTAGACGTCTGCAGATACGACAGTACTTATGATACTAGCAATATCTCATCTAGTTCTGCGTGCACTTGTAGCCATTTTCAACAAATCTTACCTTACTTTCCCTTCGAGGTTTCAGCAAAGTAGGTCTATCGATCTTAAAACATGGCCAGCTCTTCAGTTTATGTGACTATATCAACTACGAAGCAGAGTGGATATCGGCAGCAAAGTATCAGCTACCGGAACTCCTCCAATTCATTCCGCCCCTACAGAAAGGTCTGCTTCTACCCGAAGATTCACTCTTGTGGTTTTCTAGCTCAAATCGCTTGTCACATTCTGTCGCTCATTCCGCACCAACGCGCCATTCCAACTCATAGATCCGTAGCGACGTTCCGAGAGTCGACTCGTTGACACCACTTTGCTCGACTTCGATATAGCATACGCACAAGGTCTCGAGTGAGCCACCATCGCAGCCCTAACATTATCTTCCACTCAAACTACGTTTCTCTGTTTCACTCATATTATCCTGATGCTGAACTGTTACTCTGATCGGCATGTGCTAATTCGTTCGCAGGGGCGAGTTGCCAAGGCTGATGAGATCATCCGACAAGTGAAGCTCCCGCATACCGCTGCGAAACTAGAAAAGCACGATAGAAAGAACGATTCCGAAAGAGCTCCCCAAACGAGGTGGTAAGAGCAAGACGGAGTTTGGATCAAAACAAACAAGTACGTATCATCTCTTAGTATTGACACTCAGATCCAGTTCCTCGCCGCCATAGCGTCAACAGCCAGCAGCCCCAGTCCCCCGCAGCGACAACAACACTTGATCTTACCGATACGAGTACGACTGGGGGACAACTTCCGTCTACCTCATAGTCATCCTTTGGCGGGTAGTGTGGGAAAAGGCCAGGAACTCAGTGGGTCTGCACATGCACGTGTACCTAACGTTACGCAGGCTAAATTCTTCACCCAGCAAGGCTTCCATGATCTTTGTGCTTTTATGCCATTCAAATTCCGAGTTCGCAAGAATATAGCATTCAAACATAAAAAAAGACCAATCCTCGAGCTGCTGCACCAAGACTTCATAGAAAAATAGCGTTGAACTCACCAGAATTAATCCTTGAAAAACGACTGGCACAAGCCTCGGATTGCTTGTGACTGAGAATCGCATTGTATCTCCAAGTTGCAGTTCTCAGACACAGTTGTCCATTGGAAACTTCACAAATCGACATCCTTGGATCCTTTCATTTGAACATCAGCTTTGAGATCGCAAGTATGGGTGAATCAGGACTTGATGACATGGAACGGAACTGAACTCACAGTTATCGTGGCTGGGGAGCGCCCGAGAGACTACCAACAGTATCCGCATGAATCTCGTTCGGTCCTTTAGTGTAGACTGATTGGATGCAATGCCTAATCTTTACGGCTCGGAACGCTATCATCCATCTCTCAGTCGATTGGCACATCAGCCACGACATTTTGTAGAACGAGTTGGCTTTCATATGTGAAGCGCGTAAGCAGGTTCCTTATGATGCCTGGGTGGCGAGACACATACGATTCTCGTGGCTTAGTTACACCTGAGATACTACCAACAAAGTTTCCACGCTTCCAGTTCAGGCATTCCCTTGCGGATTAATTGCTTGCTGCCCCGAGCCTTGCTGCTAGGAACGCACTTCTCAGACCTCTCACTTGATATGCACAAAGCCACGAGCTAACCAACACGTAATTGCATGTATGGTGGGTGTTTAAGCGAGTGCGCTTTACCTATTTAGGCAGCGTGTTGTGAAAGTGAATGCTCATTCGGCTCTGCCGGGAAGAAAGCCCCTCGACACAAGTGAAAGAAGGCATCCATCAATGAGATCGAATGATTTCCTTAAGTCTCTATTTTGCCTTGGCCCTTTGAGTCTCGCCTGAGCAAGGCGGTTGCTTTCAAGGCGCCCGCGAAGGAGCCCACGTCACCTCCACTCATCAGATTAATTTTCCAGCAGCGGGATTTGTTAATTATCTTTCAAGACAATCTTCGAAAATCAATCTAGAGATCAATTCTACACTTCAATTGCGCCACTCGTGGAGCGGGCGCGTTTCCGTCGATCGACAGAGACAAGTAAAAGGAACCTCACCTCTGAATAATCTATGCACCCCGAAAGCTACCGTCTTAAGGTAGCACTATCAGGATGGGAGACTACGAAACAGAAACAGATGGCGCCTTTGTCGTCTGTCGCGAGACCAACCTGCTGCCCAAACGTATATTCGATGTCTTCTTCCCTTGTCATGGCTTGATACGAGTTGACCTCGGTCCGAATCTGATCACAGACTCGGTTTCGAACTCATCGACACCCAATGTCTCGAAATCAGTTGCCAGAATTAAATCACAAGGAAGAAAAACGGCCTACGTCAAGTTCACGAATGCCGCCAGCGCTCAGAAGGCAATCGACAAGGTGGATGGACAGCTCATTTGGGACCATCCTCTAGAGCTTTCTCATATAGCCTCATTGGATCTGGAAGGAAGAATTGATAACGGCTCTACCAGCTGGGATCACACAGATCAGGCGAAATGGGGGCGTGGAAATAATGCCCTGGTGGCATCAATGCTGAAGGTGTACGTACACAGTCCGATTTCGAATTGACCCATTATTGACCTGCAACAGCCTGTCTACTAAACAGATCTACGACTCTGGAAACTTCCGCCCCAGCAAGCTCGACTATTTCAATGTTCTATACGACGAGGAGATCAAGAGATTGTCTGGATTCTTCCCCGAGGAGACAATGCTTCGTCGTCAGGGGCGAGTCTACCAGTACTTCAAGTATGAGGTTTCAATCAGTTATCACCAACTGCTGGAAGCTCGGAAGGTTATCAAGTCGGCTCAGGTTAGTTAAAGTTCTCCACCTTTTCTAGTGACATTCATCTGCTCACCGGAAAACAGGATCTGGACATTTCCCATTCGAACCTCTCCGACCAGACTCCAAGATCTCCTTATTGAATTCAGACTATTCCCTTCCCGCGTCGAAAACATGCGCTTCCTGCGAACAACTCTACAACTCGTTATCGACCTTCCCGCACGAAAAGATGAGGTGTCGACGAAGAACCTATTCACAGTGGGCGATTACCTGGCTGAGACAAATGGATCACCGGAGTTGCCGGTGTTCTTTCAGGAGCGGATGTACCGCTGCTTGCATGATGATCTGGAGACGATATATGCTGGAGAAGTCGAGGTAGATTTGATGTGGGAAGATACGTTTGATAAAGCGATTGCAAAGAAAGAAGGTGATGTTTGAATGTCAAGGAATGGGGAAGTCGAAATCGGGAGTCTGATCTAATGCCGAGAGAGAGCGAGGTAGAGGCCGGAGTGGTAGCTTTTGTTTGTAACTTCAACTCCACTCTTCATATCCTGATTCTCGGGCGGGAGCACAAATCAGATGAACTACTTGGCCTTTTGAGAGTCTTTAAATTCGGAGTACAAGATATTCACAGATCATTGACACATAGCTGTGTAGATAGTTACCATCTCCTTGTTTCCAAGTTCTGTGGCTAGTGTAAGAGTCGCGTCCCTATATCTTTTTAAAAGGCAGCCAGAGACACGACAGTCTTATGAAGTATCATGAGACCTTAAAAAAGAGCTTCAGCTTTGCCTAAAACGTTGCCTCAAGAACAGATGGTCTCATAAGCTCTACCTCACCATCAAGTCACAAATATCATGGAGCAAAAAAAGGAGGGAGCCAGACAAACATGCTGTATCGCTTAGCACACTTCATGGCCTGGAAGCAAACAAACCTTGAGCAAATCATTCAACTTCAACGGAATCATGAAGAAAACTTCAAAAATGAATTAAAGTTAGCCTTGAGGCTATTATAGATGCTACGCAAGGGGTTCGAACCCTTGTATCCTGCTTTCTAGAGCTTTGTCAAGGACAAAGCCTGTGGGAAGCAGACGAGTTAACCACTACTCCAGCGAAGCGATTTCCAGCACAATATCAGCAATTGTCCATTTAGACCATTCTGACGTGTATTTAATCCATAAACTTCTTATTATGCTTCATACATCTGTTTGTACTTTGCAAAATTATGGAATGCAACATCCCGTTCCAGATTTTTTCCAGTTCCAGGTGGGGGGCTGTTTGTTTTATAGTGGAGGCGAGGCTGAGTCTTGGCAAACGCGGGGCAGAAATGAGGGGCAGCACTCCTGGATTTTTTTCTCAGTCACGACAGCCTCACTCAACAACAGCACAATCTACGAGTATGATACAACACGACTCCTCCCTATACATATCGAGTCTCGCGCCAGTAGCCATAATGGCGGATGATCCGCCCCCTTCGTACGTGAATGACGACTTCGACGACGTTTTCGGTTCGGCGCCATCCTCTCCTTCATTTCTCCCCGCACGACCGACCACGGGCAACCTCGAGCCCTCTGATATACCGCGGTTGCGCGAGAAACATGAGACGGAGGGGTATAGAGATGGTGTTACGAAAGGGAAGGGAGAGAGTGTACAAGCGGGGTTTGATGAGGGATATGGACTGGGCGCCGTGCTAGGGTTGAAGATTGGGAAGATTTTGGGACTGTTGGAGGGAATATTGGCGGGGCTGAAAGGAGAGGGCTCGGAGGGGGAGCGAATGAGGGGGGAGGGATTGGTGGAGGGTGCGAAGAAGGAGCTGTGTACGCAGAGTGTTTTTGGGAGGGAATATTGGGGGGAGGATGGGATTTGGAAGTTTCAGGTGGGGAAGGAGGGAGAGGGTGATGGGGAGGTGCTTTTCCCTGATGTGGCGGCTGCGCATCCGTTGGTTAGGAAGTGGGAGACGGTAATTGAAGAGGAGGTTAAGAGGTGGGGATTGGATCTGGGGATCTTTGATGGGGAGGATGCTGGTGAGGACGAGACACAGGAGCTGGGAGCAGGGAAGGGAGCACAGGGGAGGGAGGCTAAGAAGGGAGAGGTCGAGAGCGAACCTGTTGCTGCGGGTATGGCGAAGGTTCTAGGGATTTCCAAGAAGGATCTGAGTTGGTGAAGACATTGGAGCATTCTACGACAGATTCTGTGTCTGCTCCAGAACGCCGTTCCGGACGGTGTACGACACTCTACCAGGAGAGGGCAGGACGAGGAGAAGAAGTGGGAGGGAGAGTATCAGCATTAATAAGTGCCGCTTTGGCTCACAGAGAGGATTGGGCTGTTGGTGACGGCAACCAAACCCTGATGTTCAGGTTTCAACCCTCAACATTTTCTGGGCATCATTGCTTGTCAGGCCCTCCTTCGTCCCGAGCCGAGGAGCAAGGGACAGCCTGAGAAAGCTTGCCAAACATCCTCCTCCATATCAAGTCCGAGGCCATGACTCGTGATACTGTGGAGGCGGAGATCATCGCCTGGACAATCACAGCCTTATGCTGTTGCCCGTCTGAGCTTGAATTGAAAAACGGCTGGGTCTTGGTGTCAAATATAGATCCTGTGTGACACATTCCCTGCCGGATCGCGAGATCGCCAACCTCAACAAAAACAATAATAGATGTCTCTCCAGACAAGCAGAAAAGGACGGAGCTATTTCTTTCAGCCGGATACTCAGTTTTGGTACTGTCCTCAAGGACTCGTAAACTTTACTCACTGTTTACAATGCATAGAGCCCATATTCTAATTCTTGTGGTGGTCTGCTTGAGCATCAATTAAATAGTTCGACTCTATATGGCGCGTCCCTAGGAACCCAAAATATGCCCATGCTGTTTGTGGAAAGAAAAGAGCAAATTTGTTTTTGAAGCCTTCGCATGCCATCTTGAAAAGCATGGAATGGTTATTGTGCCAGCTGTGCCTTCCCGTCTCAATCGCTTTCCAGACTTGCTGTCTCTTCCGCTCCTTCCGTTTCAATATTGAGCAATTCATTAACCTCATCCCGCGATCAACTTTTTCTTTCCTCTCGTCCTCATCTCCCATACCACAACTTCGCATTCCTCGCCTTTCATACATTCGTTCCTCGCAAGGCTTCGGTCTTGCATCTTTATTATCTTCACCTACACTCAGTCCATCTCTTCTCTACACTCGTTGCAACTCATTCCCCACATCGATCCGTTTGCAGAACCTACCTAACACTTTCACCGTAAGTCCTTCAGTTCCACACGTCTGTCCATTCAAGATTGGCAACATGCAGGCTCCCATAATCAAGCACGAGCCGTTGTACCACCTAGCAACGCATCGTCACAAAAATTATAGAAGCAAAGCATAAAGAGCACACGAAGGACACATGCAATCCATGGACGTTGATTGACTCTGGTCTAGCTTTACGAATCATGAGGTCACCTACTCTTCTGCTCGGCCTTGTGGTCTCCGCATCCTCAAATATCATCTTCAACCATGTCCCATTGAGCTGCAACCTCACTGCTCACCGCATGTATAAGGGATGTTTGCGTGGCCAAGATTGCAACGTACTTGGACAGTAAGTTCCGTCAATAACGAAGCTTTCATCTACTTACATACACAGATGTGTCCCTACCGGTCGCCAAGATTTCGTGCAATATTCATCGTTCCCGCCCGAGCCTCACGAGGTCCAGATCAGAGATGGTCCGTACTCCACTGACGGCAGCTGCGGTCCTACTCATGGAAATACAATCTGTGATCCGAATAGCAAGGTCTATACCGGAGGATGCTGCTCGGTAGGTGAAGCATTTGGCTGAGCAGAGCATAGCTGACAGGAGTAGCAATATGGTTGGTGCGGAAACAGTGCAGAGTGAGTCTAGAAGAGTTCTGAGCCCGAAGCATACTGATCTTGATAGCCATTGTGGTGCTGGTTGCATCTCTGGATGCCCTTCGACCCCTCCTCCAACTATTTCCGGTGTAGCTCCTCGAGGTGATGGTCAATGCGGCGCTGTGAGTTTGGTCATTCCGTGGGAGACATAGCTGCTGATGTTGATAGAAATTCGATGGCGCAACTTGCGATTCGAAGGGCCCATTTGGAGGTTGCTGCTCTTCGTACGGGTATGTGAAGCTATCAACAAAAGAGATTGAGTACTAACTTTGCCACCTAGATTCTGTGGAACTACAGACGGACATTGCCTTGTTGCAAATGGCTGCCAAAGTGGCTGCAACGATGGGAATCCCAATGCACCAGCCACAACGACCGGAGAGCCTGTGATCGGTCCAGTCAAAACTTCCATGGCACCTGAAGCAATTGCAACTGCACGTGTCACAATCGACGGTACTTGTGGAACATCAAATGGCGATACTGTCTGCGGAAACTGGCCAAACGGAAATTGCTGTTCCATGTATGGATTCTGGTCAGTACACCAAGTCTTCACAAAAGCTTTATCTGACAAATCATAGCGGAAAGACAAGTGCACACTGTGGAGCTGGATGCCAGTCTGGCAACTGCTTGAACGCACCAGCTGTTGCTGTGCCCGGTCCAAGCCCTGCACCAGCTGCTCCAAACGGTGGATCGTTCCGAGTCGTTGGAAGGTCCGGCGTTCCTGCCATGCATGCCGGTCTCATGCCCAATGGTCGTGTCTTTTTCCTCGACAAGCTGGAAAATTATACAGAATTACGGACCCCAAACGGATACTTTGCCATGTCCTCCGAGTATGATCCGAACACAAATACAGCAGTACCACTCGGATATGCTACGAACGCATTTTGCTCTGGAGGAGCCTTCCTCGCTGACGGGCGTGTCATTTCCGTTGGAGGCAATGGACCGTTGACATGGTTGGATCCTAATATTGGTGACGGTTTCAATGCAATCCGCTATCTAGGCAGATCGTCAACAGACGCAAGCCTTAACGGGCAAAGCTGGAGTGAGCCCGGTAATAAGCTTGCGAGTGCTCGTTGGTATGCAACCGCCCAAACTATGCCAGATGGATCGATCTTTGTCGCCTCTGGAAGCTTGAATGGTCTAGATCCGACAGTTCTTGCGAACAACAATCCGACATACGAAGTTCTCAGCCCTGGAGCCATTACCCGTGGAGCCAACATCGAAATGGAGATCTTAGAGAAGAATCAGCCATACTACATGTACCCTTTCGTCCATCTCCTCAGCGATGGTACCCTCTTTGTCTTTGTTTCCAAAGCTTCCCAGATCTTCCACGTCGGATCCAATACCGTGGTCAAGGAACTGCCAGATCTTCCGGGCGACTACCGCACGTATCCCAATACTGGTGGTAGTGTCCTTCTTCCGCTTTCGAGCAAGAACAACTGGGCTCCAGATATCATCATCTGCGGTGGAGGCGCTTACCAAGATATCACCAGTCCCACGGATCCTAGTTGTGGACGTATTCAACCTCTCAGTACCAACCCCAAATGGGAACTAGATTCCATGCCTGAAGGACGTGGTATGGTTGAAGGCACTCTCCTTCCTGACGGAACAGTTGTCTGGCTGAATGGAGGAAGCCGAGGAGCTCAAGGATTTGGCCTGGCGAACACACCTGCTTTGGAGGCCCTCCTCTACGATCCAGCCAAACCACTTGGTCAGCGGTTCAGTACCCTGGCTCGTTCTGATATCCCTCGATTGTATCACTCAGTAGCACTTTTGCTCCTCGACGGCACCATCATGGTCGCTGGATCAAATCCAATCGAAATGCCGCAACTCCAACCCGACGACACCAATCCTTATGTCACAGAATGGCGCGTCGAGAACTACGTTCCTCCATATCTTCAAGGCGACAAGGCCAACCAGAGACCAACGAACATTGTCATCGAGAACAAGACACTACGTGCCGACGGAAGCCACATGATCATTACGTTCATTCCCCCACATGGTTCGGACAATGTCAAAGTTGTGCTTTACCATGGAGGATTCGTCACTCATTCCGTTCACATGGGCCATCGCATGTTGAATCTCGATATCACCAAGTCTGCAAAGGGAGGCCCAGCTCAGACACTGTATGTCAACGGTCCACCAAATCACAATGTGGCTCCACCTGGACCATATGTGGTCTATGTTTTGGTAGACGGAGTGCCAGGTGTTGGTCAATTCGTCCAAGTTGTTTAGGGG